CCGGGAAGATGCAACGTGCCCTGCCAGGCGCCCGCCAGCACTTGGGGGCCATCCTGGCCAGCGCCAGCGTGGTGGTGAAGGCTCTGTGTGCAGCGGTACTATTCCTCTACCTGCTCTCCTTCGCCGTGGACACAGGCTGCCTGGCGGTCACCCCGGGCTACCTCTTTCCCCCCAACTTCTGGATCTGGACCCTGGCCACCCATGGGCTGATGGAGCAGCATGTGTGGGACGTGGCCATCAGCCTGACCACGGTGGTGGTGGCTGGGCGTTTGCTGGAGCCCCTCTGGGGGGCCTTGGAGCTGCTCATCTTCTTCTCAGTGGTGAATGTGTCTGTAGGGCTGCTGGGGGCCTTCGCCTACCTCCTCACCTACATGGCTTCCTTCAACCTGGTCTACTTGTTCACTGTCCGTATCCACGGCGCCTTGGGCTTCCTAGGTGGTGTCCTGGTGGCACTCAAGCAAACCATGGGGGACTGTGTGGTCCTGCGAGTGCCCCAGGTGCGCGTCAGTGTGATGCCCATGCTGCTGCTGGCACTGCTGCTCCTGCTGCGGCTCGCCACACTGCTCCAGAGCCCAGCACTGGCTTCCTATGGCTTCGGATTGCTCTCCAGTTGGGTGTATCTTCGCTTCTACCAGCGCCACAGCCGGGGCCGAGGGGACATGGCTGACCATTTTGCTTTCGCCACTTTCTTCCCTGAGATCCTGCAGCCTGTGGTGGGGTTGCTGGCGAACTTGGTGCACGGCCTTCTGGTGAAGGTAAAGATATGCCAGAAGACGGTGAAGCGCTACGATGTGGGTGCCCCATCCTCCATCACCATCAGCCTGCCAGGCACAGACCCTCAAGACGCGGAGCGGAGAAGGTACTGTGAAATTTTCCAAAATCTTGTCAAGCTAGGAGCATACTGGTCGAGTCACATACCATCTGTTGAGGTGTTTGCCGTACATAGGTGGAGACCTACAGTCAGGTGTTGGGGCAGATCTGGAAAAATAAAATCAGTCTTTGGCCTTGAGGAACTCAGCAGTTAGGTGTCTGGGGTCCACGAGGCACTTTCCTCACCACTGTGGCCACCTAATAAGTCTCAAGAAATGCAGTTTCCTTTGGTGCTGTGAATGCCCAGTGGAGGTACACAGAACCCTGGCCTTGCCTCAGAATCTCAGAATCCTAGACATTGGGCCTGGGAGCCAGAAGCAACCTGCTGGTACTTTCCCTGTGAGGAAGGGACAGGGAAGGAGGCCTGGGGTCCTCGAAAGGTGATCTGGGCCACTCCAGTTTCCAAATGCTATGTCCTCTTCCTGGGCTTTAACTCAGATGCTGTGCTTCTCTGCCACTTATTTATCGAGAGGGAAGCTTGGGGTATTGCCACATTTACCTCTGTCTCCAGCAGGCATGTGTCACCAAAACCAGACACAGGCTACATGACCCACTGAGGGAGCCTGCTGACTACACCAGGGAGTGGTGATGACCCTTTCATTATCTATAAACCAAGCCATCCACAGCATCAGGAGTCCCAGCTGAATTCTTCACTAAATGCACTTTGGCCAGGGCAGGAGGGGTCTTTTTAAATTCAGCTCTTACTCTCTCTCCCAGATCTGTGGAGCCAGCAAAGTGGTCCCAGCTTTCACAAGATCCACAGCTCCATTTCCAACATTATTATTGAGTGTTTTGAGGCAATTACTTGAGTAGTAAAATCTGGGGCGGGCTTTGTCCTTTGCATTGCCAAGGCTCCTACTTTTGCTCACCTGTGAATGGGGTCGTGGCAGAAAGCTCTATGAATTTAGCTGCAGTTATCCCTGTATTTACTCTCCACTGGGCTGTGGAATTGAGTGTGGGACACATTCCTTTCTTGAAGGAGTTCCAGCTGGGGAAGGGCCACAGATCACTATGGGCCCAAGGTGTGGTAGGTGTTGAAAAGTATATACAGCATGCTGTAGAGCATAATTCTGGGCTCTAGAGCTTAGGTCTTTATAGGTGATAAGCCTTAAGGACAGAAGTCTCTCTTAACCTTAGCTGGTATTAAAGTTGGGGCCAGGAGAGCTGGGCCTGGTAGGAATTGAACTGTCCCCCAGAGCTATTCAGGTGGGGCCAGGCCAGTGGGGACCCCTCCTCCACAGAGAGGTGTTGGATTATTAGGGTTGGCTGGACATTCAAAAACCTCTGCCCAGGCCCAAGAAAATGGATGGGGGGGAAGCAGGTTGGTGGGGAGGAAGGGAGGGTCAAGAGGCGGGTTCTTGGCATAGCCTTATGGTTGTTAGCTTACATGGGGGTGGGGGTTATTCCTCCAGCCACTTTGACGTCTGACTGCATGGCCACGCCCAACTCCAAAGGGCTACCAGGAGAGGGAGGCAGGGTTTCCTGTCTCTCTGGTCCTTGTGAGGAAGTGACTAGTGTGACACTCGCTCTCTGCCTCGGCAGGCTTTAGATGGAACTGGCAAGGGCATCACCAGGATGGGAGCCTGGGTAGCAGCAGGGAAGGACTGTCCTGTCTATGCCAACTTGTCACATGTGAGATTGACGGGCAGGGTGGAAGTGTGCTAGGGCTTTCTACACCCGTGTCCTTGTTGCCTCTCTTGTCATGTTCCCTGGCATGGTGTAGATTTTGGTTCTCAGCTGGAACCTGAAAGGCTACACGAGCTGTCCCCACATTGGTGGCACAGAGAGGCTGAGGCATAGGAGTCCACAGTGGTCACTGTTGAAACGGTTCCCTGGCAGCTGCGGCACTCCACCTTCTGGTCAGCCAGGGTCCCAAGCACATGTGTAAACCTTCTTCTGTTGGACTTTCCCACCTGCCCTCAAAGTGGGGCCCCTAAGGATACACCCTGTGGAAGCAGTAGGCTCTGGCCTGTGCCTACCCATGTGGGCTGTTTCTCCTTCTCCTCTTGCAAGGGCTCCTCGAAGTCCCTGCTCTAACAAGGGCCTTGGTGGCTTTGGGGGTTCTTCTGAGAGGGAGAATATTAGCGTTAGTTAGGATGGGTAGACTTACCCAGGTTGGCCCTGCTTCCTGGGCTGAGCGCCAAGGGAGGTGTTGAGTTCCAGCCTTCCCCATTGACCCTTGGCAGGAGGGTCAAGATACCCCTAACCAGGAGACGGGGAGAATTAATAACCCTTCCCTTGGATGTGATGCCCGCACCCAGGCAGAAACTCCTGGAAACTCCAAAACTTGCCGTTCCACCCATCTGCCCTAGGGCACTAGTTCCACCCACCCTTAGATACCTCCCTCAGAACCATTCCTGGTGGCTGGCCTGGTGGGCAGTCTGACAGACACCCAGCTGACCTTCTCACCCTGGAGGTGCCTCAGCTATGGAGGGAAGACTCTTAGAGCCTTTGGGTTATCATTCTGATGGCAGAGTGGGTCCTAAACCAATCTCTGGGGAGTCCCAGGCTCTGCATGGTGAAGGGGAAACATGGGATTCTGGGAGAGGAGTCTAGGTGGTAGGGTGAGGAGTCAGCCTGCTGCAGAAGGGCAGAGAGCATGAGCCAAGGCCAAACCCAGAGTGACCTGTCCTCTCTCCTCTGGCCCCAGGCAACTGGCCCTGAAGGCACTCAATGAGCGGCTGAAGAGAGTGGAGGACCAGTCCGTCTGGCCCAGCATGGATGATGATGAAGAGGAGTCTGGGGCCAAGGTAGACAGCCCCCTGCCCTCAGACAAAGCTCCTACACCCCCAGGCAAGGGGGCTGCCCCAGAATCCAGTCTAATCACCTTCGAGGCAGCTCCCTCGACGCTGTAACTCCAGACCACCTTGAGTGTGGCACCTCCCCTCCTGAGCCCCCCTTGACATCCTCTCAGCTACTCCAGGGCACCTGACTGCTCTGAGGAGAGGGAAGAAGGCCTGCTGGGGCTTTCCATGGCCTTCTGCTGTTTCTCGCCAACACTACCCAGGACTCTTGCTACCTGGTTCCAACTCCAGACAACCACTATGCCAGGCCTGGAGCCTCTGAGGCATCGGCCAGTCCAGGTCCTCATCTGAGGTAAGAATGTACATCAGCTGGCAGCCCCAAGCAAGTGGCTGCAGGGACACTGATGCCACAGCTCCTGGGCCGGCCCTCACATCTGACACTGGTTGCCGAGAGCCCTGAGCCAAGGCAAGGATTTGCCAAAAATGTTCTGGGGGCCCAGCAAATGCAGGAGCCGACCTGGGGCTGCACATCCCTGCCCATCCACAGAAAGACTGTTCCTGTCAGGATTTGTTTTCCTCTGCTGTGGCCGTGACTGCTTCTGGACCAGAACAGCTTCGGCTCCCAGGTATTTTCTACAGGACCACTTTGAGTGGGCAGCCAAGCCCAGGCTCGCAGTATCAATAAAGCAGTTCTCTGATGAATGACTCCTGGGCTCTTGTCAGGCCACCTTGTGCAGCCCCTTCATCACGTTCAACTGCAAAGTTAGACAGGGACTTGATTGTCTCCATGGTAACTCCACCTGGATAGAGAAGCCCATTGCCCCAGCTCCCCACCACCGCCACCACCACATGCACACTGCCAGGTAACCTTCCAAGAGCTATTGCCTCAGACTCTTACTCCTTTTTTCTTTCCCTTCGAACCCCTATCTGGGAGGCCTTCTGTCCCTGCCTAGATCTGATAATAAGGGCCTCTCCATCATAAGGCGCTGTTCTTATCCATGGTTTACCTCTAAGACAGAATGTTCAGTGCTTGCCACCCCTAGAGACAACTCAGCCCCAGCTCCCATCCTGTTATTGTATGTATCTAACCCTCACAGTCTGGAGACTCCAGCACAGTGGACAGCCGGGGGACAGAAAGGACACACAGCTGTACCATTCACAGCTGCAGCTCTAGGGCCTGCCAGGGCCCAGAGTGGCCTGGGAGGCTCAGCAGCTAGATCCTGGGGATTTGTGTGCTGGGAGAGCTTCAGCCCCATAGGGAACAGCCAGGGATCGGAGGGGTCCCCATCTTGCCCAGCTGCCCATTTTCCCATGCTGATGGCATTAACAAGAACCATCCCCAACTCTGGGCTGCTTCTCCCATCAATCTTTTCAGTCATTTTTGTAAAAATTTTTACTTTTTTCTCTCCTGAAATTTCTGGACATACAGTACAAGTATGAGCTGCCTTGCAGGGGAGACAGTCTTGCAGACCTAGCTTCATCCAGACACATGATGCATAAGTTCCTCTGGGATGACGGAGAGAGGGGAAGGAAATGGGAGGCACTCCAGCATGAGGAGCAGGAATTCACATATGGGCCTCCAAATGCCCAACTGTCCCAGTGCCTGAGGTGTCCCCTGACTCAGCTGAGAGAGTTCAAGAGGTCCCTAGCCCCAGCTCCTACAGGGAGGGGCAAATCCAGGCTTCCCCTAGGCTGGGAAGAGCTCATGGTTGGATCCTCTTGCGGTATAGGTAGGCATTGCTCACCTGGTTCATAATGACCAAGCTGGTGAGGACAGGGCATAGTGCAGCCAGGTACCAGACTGCACCAGTGACAGAAGCAGTGAACCAGAGTGAGCACATGCCCAGCAAGAGGCTGGCACTACCCAGCAGGTAGCCCACCAGCCCAGAAGTAGCATGGTATAGCTTGAGCTTCGCCAGGGGCCATCGGGGCAGCAGCTTGGGGTAGAGCAGCCCCACCCCACCTGAGCATTGTAGCCCTGCCCACAGCACAGCCAGCAGCCCTGCCTGCCCATGCCGCGTAGCCAGGTGGGCTTTGCCAAGCTGCTCTTTGTGGAGGATGACAAGGCCGAGGCCCAGCAGTGCACACAGCAGGGCCAGCAGCTGCAGCACCCAGTGGCAGCGTGCTCGGCCCTTCCGTGAGAGGGAGCGCAGCAGCGAACTCTCAGGAGAAAACACCAGTAGTGCCTCGGTCATCAGGAAGGAGAACTGAGGAGACAGGGGATGGGAAGCTCAAGTGAGGGTGCTGCCCCAGAAGAGGGGAAGAGGGCTTTATGTAACCCTCAGCTGCCAGTGAGTCCTGGGCTGATTCCCCTTTTTCTTTCTCTCCCCACTGACAAGACTATCCATTTGGTGGGGCAAGAGTGGAAAACCCCATCTGGGACGATATATGTGCCCTGAATAATCCCCACACTTCCTCCTAGGTGCCAGTCTGAAATGTCATCTGTGCTGTGTTACCAAGCAAACACAAGGTTTGAGATGTGGCAGTTATAAATGATTCACAAGCTTTGTTTCCCTAACGTGGGGCTGGATACAATTTCTTGGCAAAAGCTGGCCACACGGGTGCACTATTTCAGGGAAAGTTAGGTGCATCACCAGAAATTAAAAAGGGACAGAAGTACATCAAAATGCAATGTCTCAGCTTTCTGCCTAGAGGTGGGTGAAGCCTCGTGCTTAGACAAACCTTACCCATTTGACCTGGGTTTTAATTACTCTGATTCAAGTCTTTTTTTTTTTTTTTGGAGATAGTCTCTGTCACCCAGGCTGGAGTGCAGTGGCATGATCTCAGCTCAATGCAATCTCCGCCTTCTGGGTTCAAGCGATTCTCCTGCCTCAGGCTCCTGAGTAACTGGGATTACAGGCATCTGCCACCACACCCAGCTAATTTTTTTTTTGTGGGGGGGTTGGTTTTTTGGTTTTTTTGAGATGGAGCCTCGCACTGTCGCCTAGGTTAGAGTGCAGTGGCGCAATCTTGGCTCACTGCAACTTCCATCTCCTGGGTTCATGTGATTCTCCTGCCTCTCCTCCCGAGCTGGGACTACAGGAGCGTGCCACCATGCCCGGCTAATTTTTTGTATTTTTAGTAGAGACGGGGTTTCACCGTGTTAGCCAGGATGGTCTCGATCTCCTGACCTCAGGTGATGTGCCCGCCTCGGCCTCCCAAAGTGCTGGGATTACAGGCATGAGCCACCGTGCCTGGCCTCAAGTCTCAGATATATACCATGGGCAGGAGTATTTGGAGCATGCAACTCTTCCAAACAAACATTAAATGTAGACAAAGATCCAGAGGCTGCCAGGGCCACCAACCATGCCCATGCTCCCACCCCTAAGAACTGCCCAGGTCCACTACTTACAGCCAGAGACATAAGCACCGGGTGCCAGGAGAACAGGCCTGGAATGAGAAGAGGAAGCCTCATGGGGCTGAGGCAAGAAGAAACCAGCCATACCAATCCTTAAGGGTTGAGAAATACCAGCGGCCCATCACCCAAGGAGGTGCTGCCAAACTGTGAGCCCCCTCTTGCTCTGCAACAAGCTGACCCCACACCTATCCTCTCTTCCTGGCCCCTTCCTGGATCAGAGGCCATGCTTTGCCACTCCTCTGGCAGTCCTCCCTCCTTCCCTTACACTTCCTGAGAACCAGCCAAAGGGAGCACCCAGACGAGGAAAGAGAAACCAGGAATTCTGTGTGCCCTGGCCACACCTACCTGCTCCACCCCACTCATCGCTCCGGCACCGAATTCCCTCAGCCAGCCAGGCCTGTTACCGGGAGTCCCACTGCCCTTCCTCCCCAGGAAAAGCGGCCCTTCCCTTCCCAGAAGTCAGCTATGAATACTACTTACTGGAGCCAGGCCTGGCAAGCACAGCCACAAAGATGGTAAAGCCCAGGGCCACAAGGTGGGCGGCAGCGCCAGAAGCAGTACGTAGAGCTCGGTAGATGTGTGACTCGGTCTCCGCAGAAAGGGCCATGGTCAGCCGTGCCAGTGGTTGTAGCCTGAAAGCATAGTAGCGAGGGCCAGGGTCTCAGGTGCCCACTGTTCACTCCTCACTGGAGAAAAGGCTGCAAGGCAGGCATGCCACCCTCTTCCAATAAGTTATGATAGGAAAGAACAGTACCAAGACCAGCACCAGGAATGATCACAACATGCCAGTCGAGGGACGGCGGCCTGTCAGCGTGTACTCATCTGAACTGGTACCAAACGCTGGCCCGCCTTCCAGGTAGGATGCGAAAAGCCATGTAAGACTACAAATCCCAGCGTGTACCACGCCGTCGCCGGCAGTAGAGCCCGCTGGGAAGGCGCGGGGCACTATGGAAATTGTAGTTCCCTGCTACAGTCCCAGTTACAGCGTGAATCCCTTAGCGCACCGCCTCCCCAAGTGCTGCGGGCATGCTGCCCCTCCACGCTAGGGACTTGCCTGCCTCAGCCGCAGCGCAGATCTGATGCGGTTGTTTCCTCCAAAGAAAGCGGGATACTCCGGGTCCTGCCGCGCGCACCGCCGCTCCGTCGCGGAGCCGCTTTACTTCCGGGTGCGACGTCTACGCACCCAGGACTTCCTGGGACGAGCCCCCCAGCAGCCACGCCTCTGAGTCGGGCTGCGCAGGCGCCGCTGGGCAGAGGGATTCGCGAGCCTGCGTGCCCCAGCGACACGGGCTTCGGGGCTGTCTGTGACAAGTGTTCACAGGAGGTGGGGACGCCCCTGCGCGACGAACGAGGAGCTACGGGCCTGGGCCTGGCTATTGCCATGGGCAGCGGCTGCCGCATCGAATGCATATTCTTCAGCGAGTTCCACCCCACGCTGGGACCCAAGATCACCTATCAGGTGCCACCCGGACTTGCGGGACTGGGCGGGGAGAGGGACGTTCTCGAGAGCTCAACCGGCTGCCTAAAGGCGGTAGTTTCCCGTGCTGTACGCAGGCATGCTACTTCATTCGCAGACAACTGTGAGGCTAGAGGATAGTCAGACCCAGGCCCCCCGGCTCCCAGTGTGACAGGGAAGACATACGTCACATTGGCAGTGTTTGTAGGATATTGGGCTGTAGGGATCCGGTTGAGGGGTTCCAGGTCCCACAGAAGGTGAGGTGGGTGACCCATGAGTATCCCTGAACTGAGTGAAGAGTAAATGATGCATAGGAAGTTTAGATAAGAGAGGAGAAAGTGTTCCAGGTAGAGCAAATATGCAGAAGCCAGGAAGGAGGTGAGATCATAGCGTGTGTTTGGAAACAGAAAGAATAGGCCTGAGTGGGTGGGAGAGAGGGGAACGCTGGACAAGAGGACTTGGGCTTGGGAGGCATGAGAAGGTCACCATTTGTACTACACCGAGTACAGATGTCCACTGAGGGGCCCATTGCCACTCCCCTTCCCAGGTCCCTGAAGACTTCATCTCCCGAGAGCTGTTTGACACAGTCCAAGTGTACATCATCACCAAGCCAGAGCTGCAGAACAAGCTTATCACTGTGTGAGGCCCTAGCTCGGGGTGAGCGGTGGGCAGCAGGGGTTGTCCCAGGAGGAGGAAGGGACAGGCTTGGGGGCCTGACTCTGTTCCAATTATCTAGCACAGCCATGGAAAAGAAGCTGATCGGCTGTCCTGTGTGCATCGAACACAAGAAGTACAGCCGCAATGCCCTCCTCTTCAACCTGGGCTTCGTGTGCGATGCCCAGGCCAAGACCTGCGCCCTCGAGCCCATTGTTAAAAAGCTGGCTGGCTATCTGACCACACTAGAGGTCTGCAATGAGATGGGCTTGGGTTTACGGACAGTTGGGGAAGGTGTTCCCATGTCTCCTAAGCCCCCCAAACCTGAGACCCTGGCAACCAGCTCAGGACTCAGGGCAGCCAACCAGCCAGGGGTCCTGGGATGTGCCCACCATGCTGTCCATGCTCTATCTAGCTAGAGAGCAGCTTCGTGTCCACGGAGGAGAGCAAGCAGAAGTTGGTGCCCATCATGACCATCTTGCTGGAGGAGCTAAATGCCTCGGGCCGGTGCACTCTGCCCATTGGTATGGCCAGCCTCTGCAAGGACAGCAGAAGGGTAGAGGAGAGATGGGAAAGTGAGCCCAGCCAGTCAGGGAGAAGGACAAGACTCATGAACACATTGGTGGGCAGGAAATAGCCATGGACTGAGGTGCCCATGTCCAGGGTCCAATGCATGATGGAGCTGGGACTGGGGGTAGGGGGGAAGCGGAGCTCTCCAGCTCTGCCCCTTGGGCAATTCCTTCCTCTTTGTGGGCCTCAGTTTCTCACTTCATAAAAAGAGAAAGATTAGCCCTACCCAGAGGCACCTGCTTGCCCCAAGGGATGCTGGGAGGCCTGGATGGTAATTGAGGGCCTCTTGGAAGAAGTGGCACTGAGGATATGGATGGGACCCCCTGCAGATGAGTCCAACACCATCCACTTGAAGGTGATTGAGCAGCGGCCAGACCCTCCGGTGGCCCAGGAGTATGATGTACCTGTCTTTACCAAAGACAAGGAGGATTTCTTCAACTCACAGTGGGACCTCACTACACAACAAGTATGCCATCCCTCCCTGGGTATCATCACCTGGGGCTGGCCACAGCGCTGGCCTCATCCTGTTCCTCTGACCTTGTCCTACTCTGCCCAGATCCTGCCCTACATTGATGGGTTCCGCCACGTCCAGAAGATTTCAGCAGAGGCAGATGTGGAGCTCAACCTGGTGCGCATTGCTATCCAGAACCTGCTGTGAGTGGGCCTACAGTCATACCCGGTACAAGGTCACCAGCCAGGGAAGAGCTCAGGGGCCCTGGGTGTGAGGGTTGGGAAGGCATGGTCCTCAGAAGCTGAGCACAACTCTCTCTCCCAGGTACTATGGCGTTGTGACACTGGTGTCCATCCTCCAGGTAGGTGAGTTGGGTTTGGTTAAGTGGAGAGTGGACCATGTGACTGGACCAGACCAGGGCTGTGTCACCTTCCCAAGCCCCTCACTCAGGCCCCTGTGCCTTCTGCTACCCTCTAGTACTCCAATGTATACTGCCCAACGCCCAAGGTCCAGGACCTGGTAGATGACAAGTCCCTGCAGGAGGCATGTCTATCCTACGTGACCAAGCAAGGTAGTGGTGGGCTCTGGGGGAAGCCATCTTGGGGAGGGCAGGGCCACATGGTGAACTGATCCCTGGCACCCACAGGGCACAAGAGGGCCAGTCTCCGGGATGTGTTCCAGCTATACTGCAGCCTGAGCCCTGGCACTACTGTGCGAGACCTCATTGGCCGCCACCCCCAGCAGCTGCAGCACGTTGATGAACGGTCAGAGGAGAATTCGCTGGGGCATTTGGGAGTTACCTGAGGAAAGCTAGACCCTTTATGTCTCTCAGGAGCCCTGGGTCATGGGGCACTGCCAATCCAAGCAGGCTTCCTAGAGATGATGGGCTACAAAGACAAAATTGAAGGGACACTACAGGAAAGGGTTCGCCTGCCTGAAAGAAGGCCTGGCCAGGGCGTCACCCCTCTGTCCTCTGATCCTCACCCTAGGAAGCTGATCCAGTTCGGGCTTATGAAGAACCTCATCAGGCGACTACAGAAGTATCCCGTGCGGGTGTCTCGGGAAGAGCAGAGCCACCCTGCCCGGCTTTATACAGGCTGCCACAGCTATGACGAGATCTGCTGCAAGACAGGTGGAGGCAGGCGGGCAGTCAGGGTGGGGTCAGGGCAGGGTGGCCAGGCCAAGGCCACTGACCTCTCCTCCACCACCCCACCCAGGCATGAGCTACCATGAGCTGGATGAGCGGCTTGAAAATGACCCCAACATCATCATCTGCTGGAAGTGAGGCTGGTGGTGGCTGGATGGACACATTGCTGTGGGTAGTCCCTCCTACCAGGAGGCTTGTCATACTGTCTAGAGCTTGACTCTTAGTTCTGTAAATAAAGACATCCATTTCAAACAGCCTTTATTGAGTGCTGCTTCTGGGCCAGCCACCGGAGACCCAGCGGTGAATGAAATAGCCACGAGCTGTGCTCTAGATCGCCATCTGGTGGGCAGGACCGAGAATCGACAAGTAAAAGTGCCGATTAATTACAAAAAAAAAAAAATCATCCGGTCGCGGTGACTCACCTGTAGCCCCAGTTACTCAGGAGGCTGAAGTGGGGGGATCACTTGAGGCCAGGAGTTGGAGGCTACATTTAGCTGTGATCCCATCACTGCACCCCAGCCTGGGTGATAGAGCAAGACCCCATCTCTCCCATCACTGCACCCCAGCCTGGGTGATAGAGCAAGACCCCATCTCAATAATAATAATAATAATAAACCTAGAAAGAAACAGATGTAGCTGGGTGCTGTGGCTCATACCTATAATCCCAGCACTTCGGGAGGCTGAGGCGGGTAGATGACCTGAGGTCAGATGGTCAAGAACAACCTGGCCAACATAGTGAAACCCCATCTCCACTAAAAAAATATAAAAAATTAGCCAGGTGTGGTGGTGCGCACCTGTAATCCCAGCTACTCAGGAAGCTGAGGCAAGAGAATCACTTGAACCTGGGAGGCAGAGGTTGCAGTGAGCCGAGATCATGCCACTGCACTCCAGCCTAGGTGACAGGAGACTCAATCTCAAAAAAAGGAACAGATGTGATCAAGAGTGAGTTGGGAGGTCAAGGCAGGTGGATCACGAGGTCAGGAGTTCAAGACCAGCCTGGCCAAGGTGGTGAAACCCTGTCTCTACTAAAAATACAAAAAACCGTGTGTGTGGCGGGTGCCTGTAATCCCAGCTACTTGGGAGGCTGAGGCAGAGAATGGCTTGAACCCAGGAGGTGAAAGTTGCAGTGAATGAGACCACACCACTGCACTCCAGCCTGGGTGACAGACAGAGAGAAAAAAAAAAAAAAAAAAAAAAAAAAAAGTGGGTTGGAGGCAGGGACTGCTCTGGATTAAACGGCCAAGAAAGGCCATACTGAGATGTAAACTGAGCCCTGAAGGAAGAGTATTCCAGGCAAAGTGCAAAACCCTGAGGCAAAAACCTCTTTGGAATGTATGAGGTAGGTCCAGGGAAGCAAGGAGGAGAGGAAAGAATCCAAGTCCCGAGGTACAAGACAGGCAAGAAGTAGGTCTTGCAGAGCTGCTGGTAAGCAGCACCCGACCTAGCATTTTGAGGGCCAGAGGTAGTTGCAGAGCCCCTCTCATGCAAGGGAATGATGTCTATACACTTTTTTTTTTTTTTTTTTTTGAGACAGAGTCTCCCTTTGTTGTCCAAGCTGGAGTGCAGTGGTGGAATCTTGCCTCACTGCAAACTCCGCCTCCTGTGCTCAAGCGATTCTCCTGCCTCAGTCTCCCGAGTAGCTGGGACAACTGGTGTGTGCTACCACACCTGTCTAATTTTTTTTTTGAGACGGAGTCTCGCTCTGTGGCCCAGGCTGGAGTGCAGTGGCCGAATCTCAGCTCACTGCAAGCTCCGCCTCCCGGGTTTACGCCATTCTCCTGCCTCAGCCTCCCAAGTAGCTGGGACTACAGGCGCCCGCCACCTCGCCGGCTAGTTTTTTGTATTTTTTAGTAAAGATGGGGTTTCACCGTGTTAGCTAGGATGGTCTCGATCTCTTGACCTCGTGATCCGCCCGTCTCGGCCTCCCAAAGTGCTGGGATTACAGGCTTGAGCCACCGCGCCCGGCCTAATTTTTGTACTTTTAATAGAGACAGGGTTTCACCATGTTGCCCAGGCTGCTCTCAAACTCCTGACCTTAAGTGATCTGCCCGCCTCGGCCTC